CCACAATTTCGTTTTCCTTTGCCCCCTTCCATGCTTGCTAATGCTAGCAGGGCTGCTGCGAGCATTCTTGCGCATGGTTCCTGGTGTGCACGTGCAGCAGTGTCTGCAGGACGTATTAGGGAAGGTTGGCTATGCTCACCTTTTCTCTACAGGTGATGACATCCTTTCCAACGTGATAGGGCCAATTCACACTCCCGGCGGCAGAGTGTGCATATCAGTTGGTCCATGCCCTCTCTAATATTAACACTTCTCAAACTTGGTATTTAATTAAATTTGGAGGGAGCAACCCAGGACAGGAGGAAGGAGGGAAGAAGGAAAAGTTTATTCTTTTCAAACCCAGGACCCAGAACTGGTACTCACAGTAAACACATATTGCAGGTTTGATGACTTTCTTACAGTGGCTGCCTAGACCCTGCTTATTGCAGCCACTGAAATCCCCTGTGTGACTGGGGGGAAAAGGTGAAGGGAAGTAAGTGGGGCCACGTGATTCCCCGGAACATTTAGTCAGTAGCATAATTCGAAATTGAAAAGGAATTACAACTATAACGTATATAAATTGAAAATAAATGTGAACAGGGCCCCTAGAGTATGTCTGGGAGGGGCTTCTGAGTTATAGATAGTTTAAATACAGAAAAAATTGACCATTTTTAAGTGTATAGTTTGATGAGTTTTGACAAATGCATAAAGAATTTTGTAAAAAGTCATATAACCATCACCACAGTCAAGATTGAGAATATTTCCATCACTCCAAAAAAGTTCCCTTGTACCCCTTTTTCAGTCAGCACCCTCCCTCTTCCCCAGCTCTTGGTAACCATTGATCAGATTTCCATCCCTAAAGTTTCACCTTTTCCATAATACTATGTAAATAGAGTAGTTCAATATGTAGCCTTTTCAGTCTGGATTCTTTTGCTTACTATGCTTGTGAGGTTTAGCCGTGTTGTTGCATGTATCAGTAGTTGGGTCCTTTTTCTCGCTGAGTAATATTCCATTTATGGATGTATAGTTAGTTTGCTATAATGCTTACTTAGAAAATGTGAATTTATTTTTCAATATGATTGATATATTAGGAAACAATTTGAGCATAACACAAGTTCTTGTATTTGCTTATACATGATTTTATCTGTGAAAAACACTAGGCAAACAAACCTCGTAGGAAAACACAAAGCACACACATTTTGAATACCTGCCAGCTGCTTCAGTCCACTGCACGCGCTGTGAGCCACACCCGCCTACAGCTGGAGCTACAACTCTCCTGATTTCACATAACCCTCCTTCTACCGCTTCACAAGCCACGGCCCTTCTGATTCTCACTTCCACAAGCAAACTTCAGGTCTTTTTCAAATTAAAGTGCTACATTTACTGTAGTACTTATGTTAGTTATCGAGCGTGTGTAAAACTACGCTACCATTTTTATTGGATTCCTGTTTGTTTTTTTAATCCTTACCCAAGGATATTTTTTCCATTGCTTTTCAGAGAGAGTGGAAAGGAAAAAGAGGGAGAGAGAGAAATATCAGTCTGAGAGAGAGACACACACTGACTGGTTGCCTCCCGCATGCGCCCCGACCGGGGCCAGGGATCGAGCCTGCAACCCCGGGCATGTGCCCTGACTGGGAATCAAACCATGATCTCCTGGATCCTAGGTTGGTGCTCCACCGCTGACCACACCGGCCGGGCTCCTGTTGTTTTTTAATGTGTCACTGATGAAGTGCTTGTGTGTTGCACCCAATCCCATTTCCCCTAAGCCTTAGGGTTTTTCCTTTATAATTTTGCATAATACTGTGATTTCTAGGAATGCACGTGTCATGTTTTAGCAGAACTGACTGTACCACAATTGGGTTATCCATCCACCACTTGATGAGCTTCCGGTTTCATTTTGAATGACACTGGGGAATATTTTGAATAAAACTACTATAAACATTTGTATGCAAGTCTTTGGAGGTAGAGATGAAAATAGTGGAAAGTCAGAGGGAGCAAATGCAAAGGCCCTGATGTGGATGGAGGCTTGGCATGCCTGTGTACAGGAGGACTTGGCGTGGAGTTCACTCTGCATTTGTAACCAACCCCCTAGATGCCTGTTGTTTCCAGTGCCACCGATTCCAATAGTAATAAGGAAAGATAATGGGAAAGGGAAAACATTCATTTCTTTTAAAAGTAAAATTATAACGATCAGTACTCAGGTATGTAATATAACTGCTATTTTCTTATTAATTTGTTCTTGACACATGAAGAATATTAACTCATAGAAGCTGTATAATTTTTTTCTAAAATGGAGGAGCAGTTGAGGGTTTCCTAAGTTGCAGTAATCTTACAAGTGATTGTTTGCCTTCATTTTTCCAGCATTAGGCAGTGTCACTGTTGTCTGCGTGTTTTGGTTTTTTTTGGGAAATTTTTGTGATTTCCCAAGATGTTGACTGTACTTTATCCCACTGCAAAAAGCTGTTGTCTTATTCAAAAAAGAGCATGTCATATGCCCGCTCCAGAGAGGACATCCCCGGAGACAGATGGCCTATGCCTCTCCCCACCCTTCCAGTCTATTGAAGCAGGATTTTGAAGCGAGGGGAGAGGAAAGAATTACTGCCCAGGGCAGGGAGGGTTATAGCTTCACCGCTCCATAAAGGCAGAAGAGAGAACTCAAAGGGAAATGCTTGTAGAAATTGGGGGTGCCATCAAGGAAAGATGGAGTCTTCTCAATATCTAATTAGATTCTACATAGATAACATATTTGCGAGTGTACCCTGAGTGTACCTGAGTAGGGGCAAGGGGAAGGGAAAGAGATGTCAAGGAGAGAGACTTTGCCTGCCCTCTGACTTTTGGCTTGATAAGTTTAAGCAAAGTGGAGACATGGTACTAGGTAGAGGAGACTTGAGTCATCTTGTCCTTGTCTACCCAAGAGGATGATCTCATAGTTAGTTGGAAGCAGAATGCCCACATCATGGAACAGGGAATGTTAGATTAAATCTGTTCCAGATGGAACATCACTTTGAGAGACAGGGATCTGATGGTTAAAAGCATGGGACAGAGACCCAGGTTTAAATCCCAACACTGCTAACTATATAGCCATGGAGAAGTTAACCTAAGCTCTCTGAGTTGATAGGTGTGTTTCCTCACCTACCAACTGGGGCAACGACAGTGTATGCAGCACAGTGATATTCTGAGGACAAGATGAGCCAATGCAGAAAAGTTCTTAATTACATTAAACTCAATAAATGTAAGTCCTTATTCTTAAGAAAGATTGACTTATTTTTAAAAAGCAAAGATGCACATGAAGGAGTCTTGCTTTTTTGTTCATGTAATTTGTCGATTTTATTTTATGGAATATAAGTTATAGTTTAATTTATAGCATATTATGTCTGCTTTGGCTTTCCAGGATGCTGTCTCCATTGTAAGGTGTGTGGTAATTACAGTCGTATGTCTTCTCTTTTCTCACTTCTCCAATTTTTCTAAACTTCCCCTTTCACCCCTCCCAAACAGTATTATTGATGTTCAAGAAAACAACCAAAACAATGCCCAGAAGTCCAAGACTTACTTTTAAATAAATGGAAGCATCTTTATTATTAAAAAGGTTATAACAGCCCGTCTGGATGTGGCTCAGTGGTTGAGCGTTGACCTAGGATTCAGGCGATCGGGGTTCGATTCCCGGTCAGGGCACATGCCCGGGTTGCGGGCTCGATCCCCAGTCGGGGGCGTACAGGAGGCAGCCGATCAATGACTCATCATTGATGTTTCTCTCTCTCTCTCCCTCTCCTTTCCTCTCTCTGAAATCAATAAAGATATATTTTAAAAAAAAAAGTTATAACATAGCACAAAGATCAAATATTTGCTGAAAATGAACATTTATAAATTCTTATTTGTTGATCGATTTGGTCCAATATCTAGAGAGGAGCTTTAGCACAATCATTCAACATCGCCTTGAATCACTGTGTACTATGTGATTTCTTAGAGGAAACATTTAATAAAAAACATAATTCAAAATGCTAAATGTATAATAAAGGTGAAATAACTCAAATAAATAAAAAAATTAAGTATGGAAGGATCCAAAGTTTAGTTAGTGGGAGATGGAGTTAGACCCATAGGGAGGTAGCTTCTGGAGTTGCAATGCCATTCTCCTAGCTCAGGTCTCGCTCCCCAACCTACAGGTGGACTGGCTCTTTCTTTCTGGACCCCTTGGGTTCAGCTCTGGGTTCCTGATGCACCCCTGGACCCAGACACTCACTGGGGTTGGCACAGACCAGCCAGCCTCAGTTAGTTTGGAAGCAATGGGGAAGGGAAGAAGCATTTAGGAGGACAGTCTTCATTCATAAGAAAGCCGGATTTATGAAAATTCATAAATATGCATGATGGAATGATTTGCCTTGGTGTTCATTTAAATGATGGAATTCCCTGGTCCATGTACATTTGCATTTGTTTTTAATACTTTCCTTCGTTTTCAGCCTGTGAGCAACGTGTCACAGGCTTAAAGCCTGGTGTTGTGGGAACGACGCTCACCCCTTTCTCTTGCCTTCCTTTCCTGCTCGGATGCCTCTAATCCTTCCATCTCATTCCTTCCAGCTAGTGAAAATGATTGACCAGGGGAAACAAAAAAAATAACAGAATAACCAGCAGTCCAATATGTGCTTAAGAAAACAAAAAGAATCTTTATTATTCTGGTGATTTTAACAGAGCAAAGGGCTTACACCATCTCAACAGCATCTGTGGATAGGTTTGGTCCAATGTCTACCCAGAGACAGGGGCACAGTCATTCACCATCACCCTGAGCTTGAATCCACCACTGTATGCTTGACTGTGAAAGGATTTGGGGACAAGAGGGTGCTATAGTGATTTCTCAAAGAAAGCGTCAAATGAAGAAGACGATTTACAATATTTAAATGCCTTACTAAATTAAAGAAAGCTTTCAGAATGTGGTTAGTGGAGGGAGGAAGGACTCACAGGACAGGGAACTTCTGGGGTTGCAGGGACACCCCTTAGTCCGTGTCCCTGCTGCCCACTGGGACGCTGACCCTCTAGGCTGCTTCGGGAGCCTCCTCCATGTTGTTGATGTACTCTTGAACCCAGGCATTGCTGGGATTGGCACAGATATGCCGGCCCTTTTTGGTGAGAAAGCTGTAGAGAAGGCAGAAGTATTATGTAGAGGGTGAGGAAGGACACACCTGACCACCTGTGGCCCCTTCATCTTCATCCCTGTGGGCAGCTCAGAGCTGGTCCACCTTATCAAGGAATCATTCCCCAAACCTCAGGGACTTTTGCTCCTGAGTGATTTATGGAGATAACCTAAGGCCACCTCCTTTCTGCTGTCTCTTTCTCTTCTCTCTTTCCTCTACTTCTAGGCACACCTTCTCTGGCTCCCTGCAGGCCCCATGTCACATCAAGAAACAGCTCCAGTGGCCTCTCTCTTTGTCCCGCATGCACATAAGGCCCCCAGAGGGCTAGGCTTTCCCAGGATGGCTCCTTATCCAACAGCTGGTGCACTTGTGAACTGCTCCCCACTCAGACTCCTGTGTCCTCTGTCACCCCACGGATGGGCAAGGGGACTGATACTTACACAATACCACTTTTGGAGCACTGGCCGCTGGTCTTAAAATAGGCAGCCACAAATCTGCGGGGGATCTGCCGGGATGTGTAGGACATGCAGCAGGTGGGTGCAATGTCAGTTCTTTCTGCTGGGAACAAGGACAACAGGAGCTGTTCAGGAGCACAGGCAAGCCCCAGTGGGTCAGGAAGAAATACAGAGAGGAAGCATAGCTCAGAGATGAGGCGTGGGGGGAAAGGAAACTGGAAAGAATTTGGCTTTTTTGTTTTTCATCAATTTCCTTAGTCTCTTCTTTGGTTTGTCTCTTCATTTTGGACTCTATCTTACTCTACAGGGAACCAAAATCTAGATAGTCGACTCCCTTTTCTTAAATCTCTTTGGGGAAAATTTATTTTCTATCCATTGAATCATAAGATAACTGAGTAAAAGTAGGGACAATTCTTGGGAATAGCTAAGGTGATTCTAAAACTTACCAGCACCAATAGGATCTAAATAGACCTAGATTTTACCTCATGCTAATAAACCAATAAATAAAACTTTAATGATCTCATCCAAAGAGTAATAGAAAACCTCTCAACTCCCATCATGCAGCCCAGATCAATAGACTCCATTTGAACCCTCTTAAAGAAAACAATGTTATCTTGAAACCCTGTTCGAAGTTCTCAATTTCACATGGGGGTTCTCAGGCCAGAGGACTTGGAAGATGTGGCCTGACTTCTGGCTAGAGTGTGGGGAGCAACTGCTGTTAAAGGAAAGTGGACAACAAACTCACCTTCCTCGTAGGCATAGAGGACCCTGGTGCAGAGGAAGACAAGGACCATAGTCCCAAGGAACTTCATGATGCTGGGAAGGCAGAGGAATGTGGGCAGAATTGAGATGGAGCTTTGGAAATTGCTTCTGCTGGCTTCCTTCTGGGATCTGCACTATCTTCCCTCCTTTTATAGGCAGCCCTGGCCAGTGAAAACATAGAGATTGGAAGTGTCTAAGCAAGACATTTTACGTATAGTGGTGTCATGTGAGTTGTACAACCCAGAGTTGCCTGTGGTTACTACAGAGATTTAGGGTACACACAAGAATGGTTCAATTGTTAGTTTGATTGGGATGCTTATGAGGAAGTTGTTTCTCCAGATGGGTGACCACTAATTGTCATCGCCCAGGGATCATGCTTAGCTGTTTCCTTTTCATGTGACAGATCTCTCTGAAGTGGAGGTCGCCACCTCATTCCATAGAGCAGAGTGCTCTGATGTACTTCCACAATTGTTCTGACCAGTGACGTGAGTAATAATGCCACTGAGTCTCAAGCAGCATAAACCAAGGTAGTCACACTGTAGATGGAAAATACAGAATCGGGAAGCCTGGAGGTACAAGAGTGGTTAAAGTATGGATTAGCCTTCCAGTAATTGGTCTATTTATCAAACATTCACCATAGAGCTACAATGATATAACACTGGATGTAGTCAGCAGTCTTAAAAATGTCCATATTCACCCAGCTGGCATGGCTAAGTGGTTGAATGTTGACCTATGACCCAGGAGGTCACAGTTTGATTCCCGATCGGGGTACATGCCCAGGTTGGGAGCTCACTCCCTAGTAGGGGACATGTAGGAGGCAGCCGATCAATGGCTCTCTCTCATCATTGATGTTCCTCTCTCTCTCTCCCTCTCCCATCTTCTCTCTCTGAATCAATAAAAACATATTTTTAAAAAAGTTCATAGTCTTTGAACCAGAAACTCTACTTCTCATAATCTATCCTATGAAAATGACCTCACAAATGCAGAACATATTAGGGACAATGGTGTTTGGTACAGTTTATCTATGATCAAATCATTGACAGCAAACACACTCTACACTGTTGGAATGATAAAGTAAATCCACTGATGGACCATTAACCAGCCTCTTAAACAAATAGTGACCTGAAAATATTTGATTTTTAATATTAAATATTAACAAGATGCAAAATTTCATATGCAATTTTATTTCAAAAATCCTGAGAAGAGAAAAAAGAAAAACCTCAGAAAGAAATAAAGCCTTGTATCTATGCCTGTCTGCTCCTCAATACATGTCCCATGGGTTGTCTTTCCTCCACAAGCCCTGCTTCTCTCCAGGAAGAAGGAAAAGTTACACGAGGGTAAGAACGCTGGCTGTTAGTGTCACTGCAATCATCAACAAATTTGTGACAGGTCTGGGAGTAGTAAGTGAGGCAGTGTAGTGTCCACCCTAACTGTGAGGAAATGGCAATCAAGAGCCTAAGAAAATCCAAGTCAACTTCTTCCACCCTCTGAGAAGACCAGCAAAAAGTGGATGGAGATGTCACTGCTCAGGGCACAAAGGGAACCAAGGAAGCTAACTAAGCGTTTCTTCTTTACATTGAATTTTTGTTTTGAATCTCTGCCTGTTTTGCATCTTGTTAATGATGGAGTTAAGCCTCAATTTTTCCTGCTGAAAATGGGTCCTAGCCCTCCTCTGCCTTTCAGATCCAGAGACTAGGATAAATAAAATTTCTTGGGAAATAGCCCAGAGCATTTTGAAACCTTCTGTGAAGTTCTTTACTTTTACTTAGGGAATCTCAAGCCATAGAATTTAAGTGATATGGATTAGACATCCCAGAGCTTTGGGACACAACTGTAAAAGGAAGGAAGGATGAGGGTTGAGAAAATCTTATAGTACAGATGAAAGTTGTGAGCTGAGGGCCGTGGTGAGGAGATGTCAACAAAGGCAGCCATGGAAACCTCAGGATGTTGGGCAGGCAGAGGAGCTTGGGCAAAGCCAAGATGGGACTGTACACTTGCTGCTGCCTACTAGATCCATCTGGTGTCCCACCCATGTCCCTGCCCACTTACGGGCAACTCTACCATGAGGAGCTGGAGGCTGGGGATGGCCAGAGGGGAAGTTGTTGCACGGTGTCATGTCATGAGTTGCATGTGCTGGGGTACCTGGATCACATGGAGGCTCAGGGTATAGGAGAATAGCTCAGTTGCTCACTTGTTGAGGCTGATTGTGTGGAAATGTTTTGGACAGTGAGAGGAGGTGAGATGATGTTAGTGTCAGAGCTGTAAGTTCATGGAGAGATCTACAGATTAATGATTCCTTCCACAGGGCAGATATGACATTTGCTGCAGCTCTGGGCGAAAAGGACCATAACATCATGTAGATTGGAGCTCAGAAGGAACTGATTAACCAATAAGAGTGTGGAACTGGGGTTCTGCCTGTATTGGGGTCAAGGTGGGGTGTGTAGGGTTTTTGTGGATTCATTCTTTATTGGTGAATTTTAAACTCAGGAGTGGGAATTAAAGCGCAGAAAAGGAGAAACAAGATCAGTCAAATGATCATTACCTAGGTCACCCAGGGCTTTCTAAAAAGGTAAATTCATAGGTGGGACGCCTGGATCTTTATCCAGTTGTGTAGCTGGCAATTTGTTTATTCAAGATGGATATCTTTGAAATGGACACCTCGGCAATCAAAAGTTTAATATCAAGCACTTAGATTATAATAAAAAAAGCGAATTGTCAGGGACTTACACTACTCCCCTGGGCCTGTTGTGAGATTCAGTGGATGTCTGATGAATGAGCCACAGTCTGAAAGGCCAGCCTCCATCTTGCCCCTTCTGTAACTGAGGCTGCCCTGATTCTGCTGCCTCCATCCAGGGTGTGGTTTTAGCTTGGGTAGTGCTTCTCAAGACTCCCTGGCATCATCATCTATGTCACATCTGTGCCATTGGGACAGCTGGGGTGGATATCAGAAGGTTCAGCTCTTGGGAGAATTGCTTGGTCTACAGACCTGCTAACCTGGTCTCAGGGTCACACCAGCATCCCCCCTCCTCTCACTGTGGAAACCATGTCCTTATCAAGTAATCAACCAAACCATTTTTACAAATAGCCTGAACCCTTGTGGTGACCCAAAGCTCTCCTGGCTTATGCAACTCAGAGCAGGACAACCAACACCACGATTAAAAGTTCCACCCTCAATCTCCCTGGGTTTCTGTCTTCTAATGTCCCAACACTGTCTTTGAAGAGAAGACATGGCTTAGACCCCAGGAGGAGGCAGCAGCTGCAAGTCCCCAAGTCCTGATTCTGCTTGGCCTCCACTTGAGCGCACACTCCGCTGCCCAGCACCATGGAGTCCCCGTGGCCACCCTCGCTGTCCTGCTCCTCACGTCGGCCCTGGGTTCCCAGACCTGCTCTGCCTCTTGGCGTCTGTTCCCCCTTCCTCCTCTTGAATGAATAGGAACCCCGGTGCCAAAATCTTGTGCCCCAGACCCTCTGAGTTGGGAACTTCAGAGGGATTTCAGCAACAAATGAAGCTCTGCTCAGGATGATGGCCAACATTTGTTGAGGGCTCGCCGAGTGAGTGCTGGGCTCTGTGCTGAGTGCTTGTATTAGTGACAGTCTAGGTGACTCTGCCTGCAGTCTCGAGAGCACTGCCCACCTGCCAGGTGGCCAACAGCCTCGGTCACCTTCTCTGCTGTCCTGCACTCTGCTTTCTAGGGGAATGTTCTTTATAGTTGTATCTGGGGTGAGGCTTGGGGGCTAGAGTGGCCAGAGTTAGCAAATAAAAATACAGTAGGGATAATTCTTTTAATAAAAGTATGTTCCATGCAATATTCGGGACATACTTATACAAAAAGTATTTGTTGCATACCTGAAATTCAAATTTAACTGGGAATCCTGTATTTTAGCTGGTAACCCTATTTGGGGTGGATACCCCTCATAAAGTCTGTCTATTTCTTGCGGGAGATGGACTTCATATTAGAATCGCTTCAATATCAGGACCTCACTCCAAAGTTATGACTTTGATTGGACTTGATTGGGGCCTGGGCATCAGTGATTTAAAAACTCCCGAGGTGGTGTAAATGCAGGGCGGGTCTGAGAACCACTGCTGGGATGCAGTCATAGGCTGTTTTGGGCCAGCCTTGGATTTTCAGAGACAATACAACTTTTCAATTTTTCAAGGCTTCTGGTCAGTTTTTGGTCAATTCCACTGGATGGCTAATTAGAATCCAAAAGTCTGTCAGCCGGTGTCACTTCTAAAACTGGGTTTTGGAAAGCCTCTCTCAGCTGGGCACTGGGAGCTCTGGTCGTCCCTTTCACGGCCACACCACCCCCATTTCACTGACTTCTAACTCCACACTGCCCTCTGCTGATGAAATAGTGACACAGCATGGAGGTCGCCACAGTCAGCTCCCTGCCTCTGTCTGCATCCCAACTACGCCTTCACAAAGAACACGATTGTTCATTTTGTTCACAAGATAAATATTTAAAAGAGGGGTCTGAGGAGGGGGAGGATCAGGCTGTTTGTGGACCCCACTGCTTTTGTCCTTTCTAGTCTTCCCATTTCTGCTTATACTAACATTAGCTTGGAGCAGAGAATTCATCTTTTCCAGATCACTGATTCTCAACCAGCTGGGTTTGCAGGCAGCAACTAGAAAGGTCCTCTAATAAGCAAATGATTTTTAAAAAAATGTATCTTTATTGTTGAGAGTATTACAGATGTCCTCTTTTTCCCCAATGACCTCTTTCACCCTGCAGCCTCCCACCCCCAACCCAGGCCTTCACCACACTATTGTCTGTGTCCACGGGTTATGCATATATGCATATGAATCCTTTGGTTAATCTCTCC